CGACCTCCTGCCTGCGCGAACCTGGCGTCGCGGGGCGGTGGGAGCGCCTCCTCTGCAGTCCACGACGGCGACGACCGCATTGCTCGTCGAGGCCGCCCGCGGATCTGGCACGCCCGTCTGTTACGCAACGAACCCTGCAATGTGTCAAAGTCCCAGAGGGCCCCGAATTGCTTCGGAACGAGCCTGTTCATCATCGTGGGAGCAAGCAAGGCCCTTCACACCGCGCCCGCTGGAGAGGTTCGTACAGCGGGCCCTGAGAGTTGGGGGCGTGAGCACAACGGGCCCTGTTTCGAATGCACGCACGCTGCCACGGGCGGGTGAGATTGTGCCTGTCATTATCGCATAATGGACGGCGCTGCCATGTGGAGTAAGTGCACTTGGGTCCCGGCCTGACAACTCTCGATGAGCCGGGCGCGTTGCCATCTTGTGGATTCATCATTTGGGCCACATGCCGATCATGTGGCAGCCGAGTCTTCACTGGATCGTCAATATGCAACGACGCGCTGCACTCATTGGCAGAGTTCCGGGTTCGTCATTAATTGCACGCTGCAGTCGGGACGACAAGCTCATTAGAAGGCATCTCGCAAAGCAGCCTATTGCGCACTCACCGCTCGCCCACAGCACGACGGCAGCGGGCATGCTCGAGTCGTGCGGCGTGCTCGCTCGCGGCCGTGGCGGCTCTGACAGGGAAGTACACGCTTTTCACCACGGCGCCGTGGCAGGCCGAAGATAGACGGCCGCCAGGAATCAGTCCGGCTGCCGCGCTCGTGGGCGATCAATGCCTTTTGCAGCCACAGTCATTCTTTCAGCTGTCAGTGGTTTAAGGTTAGGCTTGGAGATTCGTCTGTGACGGGCCTGGCATCGCGCGAGGAAACTAGGCATCGTGGTATACTGCGAACTGTATAGCCTCCCCACTTTCTTGCTGCTGCCGCGGCGACGCACACTGCTGCGCTGTCTGCGCCTCAACCACCCTTCCGACTGACCGCCAAGTTGGATCTCGTGGCCAGGGATGGTCATCCGGGCTGATACCATCGCACTATACAGTGTTGCGATACCCCAAGTTGGCACTGTCCCTAGCTCGGCGGGTCCGTTGCCTCTGGAGCACTAAGCGCGTGTCAACAGGTCACTTGTCTGGTTCAGGTAACGGGCTATGACGCCCGGCCACTGCATGGGACATGCGCCATGCGGGCCGGTGAATGGGAGCTGGGAGCTGGGACTGGTCCGGCATCTCGAGAGGGTACGCACGGGATCGTGAAAGTAGTCTATCTCAGCATCCTGGAAAGTGCTGCACCCTTGCCTGCATCATTTGCGCAATGTGTTTCGTCGCCGCATGAGTGCGACGGGCAAAGTCCGTCAGGCAGATCCTGATCACTTGCAGGACCCGCCCGCGACTCTATGCACGCTGAACGCCAATGCGTCGGATCTTGGTTCACTCTCGACAGGCCTTGAGCAGGAGCACTGCTCCCGTTGTGTACTCCTAGTCGAGTCCCGCACGAGGACCCATTATTGGCCTCTCCAAACATTGACCCTGGCCAAGCTGCTGTCTCGAGAGTTCTCCTCTTTATTAAGCATGAGCGAAGCGCTTACCGAACAACGATTGAAGCAACCTTAACGCTCGATGCTCCAGGCTAACTCGAAAGATCTAACTTGTTCAAAAGCTGCTGCTAGCCCTCCTTGCGTCTGTGGTCGCCGATTTGTCAAAGCAGCCGCACGTCACCTCGGCGTCGTCAACTATCAGACCTTTGCTCGGTATACACTGGCTGCTCACTAATCGACACCAACGTCTTGACATGCCGGACACTGTCGTTATGGAAAGCCTCACACTAAACGAAGGGACGCCATATCAGCGACATTACCAGTCGAGAGATCGGAGATACCGCTCACCACGTCTACCGACTCCAGAAGCGTCGCGCAGTAGCAAAGAAGCCTTGGACACTGCGTACGACAACGGGCCACTTCTCACGCGCCCGTACTTGGGCGAAAGGTCGATAGGAATACCCGACGGGCCTACTCATTCTCGTCGAGACAGTCGCAATACCAACGCTCCTCACTCTCCTCCTTACCAGAATGGTGACGGACAAAAGCCATCACTGCCTCCTCTCAAAACGGTATATTGAAAGCTGTCGAGCGGGATCAACGTGATACTGACTTCTAAGCAGGTCCTCGGCAACAACATCTCGAGTCCTCCTAGGACACCCAGTCCGGGCGGAAGTCCCGGTCAGTTGGCCCCACGAGAGCCATCCTACATCACATCAACGTACAAACCACCTTCTTTGTATCCCAACAAGAAGCAGCGCACCGGATCTGTTGGGTTCCCCGAACCTGCGATGGCTGGCCCACGTTTTGCGCCCACAGCGACACTCGAATCGAACGCTCATGCGACCTCTTCGCGCTTGTCGATGTCTCAATTCCCACCAATGGAAACGAGCGATAGTCATCGAACGAGTATTCACGCCGTGAACAGTCCGCCGTGGGGAGCGCATTGTCAACCTCCGAAGTCCGCTGGCGGACGTCAAATTTATGATAGCGGTGCTGGCCACTACCGAACTCCAGAACAAACACCTACATCCACCATGCTTGAACCCTCATATCCTCGAGTCAATCCTTTTACTGGCACCGCGCCAGATCCATTTACACGACAAATCAGAGAAAGCTTTGGACAGTCCAGCGACCGTCCGAGTTCACGTAGATCCTCTGTGAGCAGTTACGGCATGTACGCACCACGTACTTATGAACGAGAGCCACCCAGACCAGGACATTATCAGCAAACGCGAGACATCTACAACGATCCACGAGACAGTGCCAGATACGGAAGACCAGAGGGACAGCAGCCTCGTCCGGTCGGCTTTCCATCCCATCCGTACCAGAGCAATGCGCCTCCATTCTTCATGCCGAGTCACTATGAATACCAGCATGGCAAGGCAAGAAAGAGAAGTAATTTGCCGAAACAGTCAACAGAAATTATGAAGACCTGGTTTGATCAGGTATGTTCCCCCTGAATCCCAACTTGCGAATTACTTTGCTAATAGTTGAGCAGAACATAGCCAACCCATATCCCAGCGAGGAGCAAAAGGCCATCTTTTCCAACGTTCGTGCTTAGACCCCCGATGTACATCGCATATGTTGACACTGCACAGGCTACGGGCATCAGTATGACCCAAGTCAGCAACTGGTTTATCAACCACCGCCGGCGTTGCCCAGAGCTACGCGACAAGCGCGAAAAAAGCCGGGGGAGCAGCCGGGACTGCGACTCCTGAGGCGCTGATTTGACTTCCATTCATTTGTATTTCTACTTCATTCTTGTTCAAGCTTCAATGTTTCATAGATAGGGTAGACGGTCGGGACTTTATGGCGCAATGACACCTAAAAAAAAAATAGGATGGGTGACGAAGACACAGACGAAAGACACAGCAAGCAGACATGGTACGATCAGGGTTGGGATGATACTGGATATCAAATGCAATGGCAACACTTTCACAAGAACACACGAAGTCGCTCAAAGGACACGCATGGAATGCTGATCTACGAAAAGCGCAGTCGCAACCTTGAAACCAATCGTCACGTCCAAGAATCCGTAAGCGGCAACCACTCCGCTGTGCTTATCACAACTTGTTCCAAGATTTGATATCAAGATTAAAGCTTAGGAACGAAGCTTGCCGAGAAGGCCATCGGAGTGGATGCCGAGGACGAGTAAGGGCATGGAAAGGCTGTAAAGATAGAGCTGTCTCCCTAGGATTGAGGCGCATTTCTGTGTTTCAGATGCTGCAGTCAAGAAGATTTATTGAGGCTATGTCCTGTCGAAGAAAGCAACACCTAAAGCATCACCTAAATAAAGCTGTGCTATCTGTGGTGGTAGGGAAGTATGTAGGCTCAACGGCCGGCAGTGATCGATGATCGGTTGCGGTCTGACCGCTCTAAAGCCTCGGGGAGTGACAGCTCTCCAGCCACAGCAGATGCTGTGATGGAAGTGTATTTGCGATGTTTGCCATGCACCACTGTCAAGATGAACCGCCGCGCGTTGACGGTACATGCGTCGAGCATGTCCAGACCTGCCGCTAGTCGCTTCTAGAGCGAAAATGTCATCCTGTGACGTGTGGTTAAAAGCTGTGATGAGCTGTCAATAGCGTGTGAGCTCCGTGCTGGCGCCGCATAGGTACAGACTGTTAGCGACAGCAGTCACAGCACCGCTCACAAAGCAAAAGGTTAATAGAGAAGGGCAAGATGGAGCCCTAGGTTGGAAATCCTGCACAAGGTTCGTCGTCGTTCTTCCGTCCAGGTTGTGCTAGTAAACATAGGTCTCATGCACGCCTTCCAGAGCAGTGCCCAACATACATGATTCGCTGTCACCAGATCACTGTGCGCTAGAAGGATATCGGCTTCCAGCAACCGACAGAAGTCCTCCCGAACATGCCATGCTAGTCGACAGCTACTAGCTCCCGGCATTCCGACTCAATGGCCGCCACAACCTTGCTTCCATCTCGCAGGCATGAACTCGTCTGCAAGTCAGGAACCCGGTCTCGAGCACGCAATAGTCGGTTATAGGCTTCGCCCCGTCCGCCCTGGTGACAGGGAGACTCTTGCCTGACAAGTACCTTTTCTATAATCAATTATCAAGCAATAACAAAAACAACTACCGACGACGAAGTTTTTCCGGTTCACGCGTAATTTGAGCTATAAAACTAGCAAGAAACCTGACACATACCACATGGCACCGCGCGGCCAGACAGCCGTGGCATGGAGTCAAAAACTTGAATGATGATTGAAGTTGACTTTCCGACCTACATATACGACGGGTGCTTTGTCTGTGGCTGGAGCAGCAGCAGCCCAGCTCAGCGGCAGCAAGATCGATCCGCTCCGCTCTGACCCCATGCTGCCCCACGTCGCAAAATGCCAGAAATTCTCCGAAACTGAGTTCTGTCATGCTGCGACGTCGTGAGCATCAGCGTCAGGGTCGAAACGTCGCTTCTTCCTCCAGGGACCTTTCTATAACAGGAGTTCAACAATAGTTCGCGGCAGGCAGGCAGGCAGGAACGCTCACCGCTACGATCAACGGCCACCGAGTTGCTGCACGACGACCGGTAGACGCTGACGAGGACTTGAAACACTACGGCGTTACGTTATGGACGGTTTCCAGTAACAGCTTTCCTAGTTGATGATGTCTTGCATTGCCGCAAGCGGAAAAATGGCCGATGGGGGGGAATATTGACTAAAGACTACGCGGTACCTGCATCGAAAAGGTGGAGCTGTGCAACAGATGCACGGGACGGCATAGTTCTCGTGTTGTGCCTATCAGACGGGTCAGGCTGTTGCACGCTGAGATCTGAATCATATTCAGGCGAGGGGAAAGCGCCAGTCAGCAAACCCGACCGAGCCTGGGAGACGCATGACGACAAACAACGAGCGCAGGCCTAAGTGATCCAAATTTTCGAAATCATGATGTCCATTTCCGTCTGATCAATCTGCCGAAACTTTCAGGCCTTGCGCGGATTTATTCACAGAAGTTTCCACGCAGGCAAGTCTGACAGAAGCGAACTTTTCTGCAGCACAACATCAATCTGCAATGATGAAGCAGGTAAACTGCCACCACTAAATTCGATTCTACTCATCGTATAGAGCCGTGATAAGAGAGATTGAGCACTGCAAAAACACCGGACTGGGCTTGCGAACAAGCAGTCTACCATATGCAATAGACTTCAAGCCGAAATGGTTCTCAATATTATGTTATTCGTTTCTCCGTCTGCATGTATGCTAACTCTGCCAGAGCTGGGTATCATCGCTAAAAGTACAACAAGTTCTACAACACTGATGCAGACGTCTAGAACTGCTAGACCTTTTCTGCCGCAGAAGTCTCTGTTCGCTTCTTCCCACTGTCGTTACTCTTCTTTTCCGTCGGGCCCTGTTTGCCCTTTACACTTCTCCATTCCAATGCAAAAGACCCAAGCGCCGAAAGTGCAGCCACGATGACGCCGACGATGAATACTTGTCGAAGGGCTCCATTGTATATGACAAGAACCTGTTCTAGTTCTCCCTCTGGCACGATGTCTCTGATTTCTGTCGCTCCGGTGTTGACGATCTGCATTGGGTCGAGGTCCTTGACCAGTCTTACGAGGCCGTTGATGAGCGATGTGTTGAAGACATTCTGGCCAACGCATACGAATATGGCTCCGCCGAGTTGTTGTACGAAGAACATGAGCGACACACCAGTCGGGACGTCCTTTTTGTTCAGAACAGTTTGCGCGGCCATGCCACCTTGTTGCATGCCAACACCAATACCGTAGCCGAAGAGAATTTGGTAGCCGATCCAGTAGCCGCTGGTCGTCGAAAGGTTCCAGGTCGTCATTAGACCCGCACCGATGGGCATGAGGACAGAGCCTGCCATGGCAAATGGCGTATAGTAGCCGAAGCGGCCGATCAATTGTCCTGATGATATGGCGCCAACGACCAGGGAGAGCACCATAGGGATCGTATCAATTCCACTTTGTACTGCTGTCGTACCCTTCACAGCCTGGAACCAGATGGGCACGTAGTAGACGAAGATCATCATGGCAGAGGCCAGACAGAAGACGAAGAGCATTCCGGCCATGATGCTTCTGTTCTTGACGATTCGTCCGGGAATAGTAGCGGTTTCTGGCTTCCATATCTGAACGGCGATGAAAGCAATGAGCGTCACGCCAAACACGACAAACAGAGCTATGATGCGCCCATCGCTCCACTGGTATGTTGCACCTCCCCATTGGAGCGCCAGAAGCAAGCAGATGATGCTGGGCAGGAGGAATAGCTCGCCGAGGAGATCGAGCTGAGCCGACTGCTGTCGGAAAGTGAGATCAGGCTGCGCGGCTGGTGTCTCTTTCAGGATGAAGAAGATCACAAGCATCGCGACTCCACCAATGGGGAGATTGATGTAAAAGCACCTGTTACACACTCAGTAACGCCCCCACGGATCAACAGACAGTCATACTCACCATCTCCAGGAAACCTCCGTAGTGAAAGCTCCACCAAGCAAAGGTCCAATCACAGAAGCCACGCCAAAAACCGCTCCGAAGAACCCTTGGTACACTGGACGCTTCGCCAACGGAACAACGCTAACCATTAGAATGATGGCCCCGGACATTATTCCCGCGGAACCCACTCCGGCAATCGCTCTTCCGATGATAAAAGCAACGGAATTGGGTGCTGCGCCGCAGATCGTGGAACCGATTTCGAAGATGCCGATGACGGTGAGGAAGACCCATTTCGGGGAGTAGAAGGTGTAGATTTTGCCGATGGGGAGTTGGAAGCATGAGGCTGTGAGCATGAATGCACTTGCATACCTGGAAACAAAGATGTGTCAGCGAATTCCGAAATTGGGTTGAGGAGGAGGCAAGTTTTACGTACCATCCAATATCGTCGAGTGAGTGGAAGTCATTGGTGATTTGGGGTACTGCCGTGGCGATGATGGTTCGATCCAAGGCCATCAGGAAGACAGCGAGTAGAATGGCGATCATAACGAGAACGACTTGTTTGCCTTCCGGATACACCTCTGACGGCGCCGCTGAAGGCGCTCGTGTGAGGTCGTCGCCATTGGTATCGTCATTGTTCGCTGATTCTTCGTTGCGCTGATGGGATTTCTCGTGGCCCTCATCGTCACTCGATGTAACGCTCTCGGCTTTCTCGTGGATTTCTTCTGGTTTGGTGATTGTTACTGGCTGTGGTAGAGGTGCTGTAGTCTCCAAAGGAGTGGCTGCTGGAACGGTCGCCATTGTTGTCGGAAACGACGTTTGAACGTGTTAGTTGCACGAGTGTAACGTTCGTTGCGCCGATGAAGGGGTAACTGTGTCGCCTGGGCAGACACGGCTACATTATAATGTACACAGACAATGTCTCGCGGGTGCACGATCTGGATTCCTGTAGACGAACTGGTCGGCCGAACCACCGCTGCCATGTGCTTCTAACCCGGCAGGAGCCAATGAAAGTGGCGCATTCCTCGGCCGGTCCGCAGCAAACGCCCGAGCCATGCGAGATGGCTTGCAGCCACGACGGACTTTCGGGCCCAAGGAGTCGTTTGTAGGCAGAATTCGGTGCCGGTTGAATGTCATCTGTCCTCCGCAGGATCAGTTCACCACTATTTTCCGCAGATCATTACTTAATCTCGCGAATCAACAATGTGTCGTCGATGAGTCGTCGTTGTTAAGCACCAGGAGTCAGAAGCTTAACCCCGAGCAAGCGTCTATGGCGTCGAGCCCAAGTGGTCAGTAGCTGTTTCGTCACAGCGAATGCTTCCAAAGGTATTGCCTGGTCAGTTGGTCACTCCTGTGGATTTATCCGGCCGGGCTGAGTGCTCTAGGCGAGTTGAATACATTGTTACATTACTCTGGTCTCCCTCCTGCGCGCTTAACGTCTACCGCGCATACTGTAGTTCAAGTTTGCTCTTGCAGTTGTCGCCAGCTTGTGTACCGCCGTCCTCTTTTCCCACACAGAACTCCTCCCTTCCACAATAGCAATGATCTCATCAGCTACTTTTGTCGCAAACATGTCATTGCCTGAACCTTTACTCTTCCTCTTCACTGCCGCATCTAGTATCCACATGAACGCTGTTCTTCTCCTTTGCCTAATGCCAAGTGGAACAGGGATCTGTAACGCAACACCACCTCCAGCTGCACCTCTTTGCGATCGAATTCGCAGAAGAGGCGCAACGCTATCGACGGCAAGCGTGAGGTAAAGTACGGGGTTCAGTGGGAGATGCGATGCGGGCGGCGCGCCTGGTAGTAAAGGTCGGTTGGCATTGTAGGTAGGTGCAGGTGCCGTGCGGAGGATGTTGAGAATGACGGACATGTTGCGCTGGGCTACAGACTTTTTGCCGTCTTTCATGAGCAGGTTGGTCACTTGATTGACGACTGGGTCGTACCTGTGATCTTTGACCAGTTCTCGCGGAAGTGGGATGGGTGGCAGCGGGAACTTGTGGCCTTTTGGTTCGACGTCAGCAACGGACTGCGTCGTGGCGGTGTGATCGGCAGCAGTCTGAGAGGGCGCGTAGGATGCCGCTGCGAATGACTGTTCCATCTCAGGCGGTGCGTAAGAGGTCGACTGCATTTCCAGCCGTCTCCGCGCATACGTCGAGAATTGCCTGGTCTGAGGTTTGGTAGTGTTGCCTGCTTTGACGTCCTCCTTGAGGACTTGTGGTGCATTCTTCCTGGTCTCTTTCTCATCCTTCAAGATCTGTATCCTATCAGTATAGGCGCGTGTGCCTCATCTGCATCTTTCACTCACATCTTGCACGGGTGTCCCTTGTCCCTCAATATCTGGTCCTTCACCGCCCTGGATCTTGGCCATCTTCGCTGCCTCCTCGCTGACGTGCTCTGCCTGCTGCATGTTTGGCCCCACTGCTCCCTGCTCTGCTTCTGGTACATCTTTGCTCTTCTCCGCGAATGTGCGGCGCCCAACGGCGCCTTTCACGACATCGCTGCGTTGAATCACGATTGGTCGCGGTCGCAAGGCGACGGTTCGTAGCACCGGAAATGGGTTGATGGTGGGAGGCATGGTTGTGTTGGTCAATGGCAATGCTCTGCCTACCGACTGACGTGAAGGCGTGCAGGGAGGAGTTCATCGGAGAAGCCAAGCTGTGCCAAGACCGAGCTCCAAAAATGACGAAGTCAATGCTCACTCGATACAATTCAATTCAATCCAAAATCTTGCTCCAAACTTCTCGTCCTCTGTGAACCTCGGGTTGGACTCATCGCAGACAGACATAAGTTGTGGTGTAATATGACGATGTCTTCTAACACGAGAACACTTCACGCAAGCTCTTTGAGGAAAGAAGAAAAACGAGCTTGTCTTGTGAGAACAGATGCACGACTACGCGAACGCTTTGCTGGACTCACATATGATCATGCTCCGTCATACGGCGTTGAAGGCTGACTGGCTTCCCTTCATTTGTATCATCGCTCGCTCAATCCAAGTGCATGAACCTCTTGATCTCTGGCGTATAGCCCAGCAGCCACCCGAGATTCGCCAGGCCAGCTTGGAATAGCCATGGTATCCGCCAACGCAGGCTACCAAGCCATTCATGAGACGGAAACATAACAAGTGCGGAATCGGTGGCGTGTCTGGCGACAAGTCAGCTAGATGTCTGACAGCAGCATTGGGCTTCACTTACTGCATCACCATGACTTGAATCCCATCGGGTGCCTTCTTAGCCCTGTGTGCTTCGTCCAAAAGTCGAAATAAGTGTTCGAAGAACACAGCGCCCAATGGATCGTTCTCGGCAGCTGGGTGCGCTCGAATGAGGACAATGGTATCTACATCGCCGCCATAGCAGTAAGGCGTGTGTGGGAGCATGGGTTCAACATCCTTGGGCGTGTTATCTGGGCGAAGGATGGTTTCTTTCTCATCCCAGCCGGTCACTATAGCCATCTCGCCTTGAATTACGTTGAAGGTCTCGGTTTGCTATGATCGCTTAGCGCTTGCATCTGCAATCACATTGTGTTCCTACCTTGAAGTGCAGATGCAAAGGCGGTACGAGTGGGTGACCGCGGCCTGATCAGATCAGATCAGCCACTGTCCATGAGGAATTGAATGTCCATTTCAGCTAGCCTTTCTTGAGTAGTGGGTCATTGCCCTTGTAAGTTATCCGCATCAAAGCTCTGCGACTCCATCAGCGTGATCCTCGTACACTCAGACTAGGGAAACTCACGTCGCTTCGCTTTCATCCACATCCAATAGCTCGAAAATCATGGTATTGTCGAAGAAAGGGAAGGGGCCACGAAGGACCTCTCGTTCGCGTTTCCAGTCGAAGTCCGCCATATCTGTTGGCAACAAGTTCTGGCGAGGGAAGTTTGAGGTTAAAAAGATACTGACACCAAATGCGAGATGTCATCAAAAGCACAATTGCATTGGCAACGACTAATATTTCGGCGCCGAGCAGGGAAAGAGGCCACAATCAAGGCTTGAAGGATGGGATCCTGCCAAGCACGGTCAGCAGGTGGATATTGGCAGGAACCAATCACATGAGACTGGCGTTACGCGAGCATGCGAGGCAGGTGGGACCAAGCTGCAATATGCAGGTGTGAACAAATGGAGTTGTGTCATCAAGTTTGCTCCCCATTGTGTTCGGATAATTAAATGTGATCTCAGGTTGTGTAACCTTCGGTTATGAGGTCCTCGACTCTTGTGCAAGACGCAGTAACTGGGCCAATGCCTCAAGCACAAGATTTCGCATGTGTGTGGCGATGCTGCGATTCGAAAATCCATATTGATTGGAAGTATATCTTTTCTATCATTTCTATTGCGCACACATGTCGTAATCTCCGCCTGGAAAATAGTCAGTAAATTGCCGTGCCAGCAAAATATGATCGAACTCACCTCTGCCTGTGTGGATACCACCACTCACAAGAATATCAGCACCTGTCACATAAGCCGCTGCATCGCTCAAGAAGAAGATTGCTGCGGGCGAAACCTCATCAGGCTGTCCTATCCGGCCCATCGGAGGAGCTGTCTGCATGAGGTCGCCACACGCCTTTGTCGTGTGTTCGCGTGCACCCCGTGTCTGATTCGTTTCGATAAAGGCTGGGCTGATCGAGTTGACGCGAATGCCTTTAGGTGCCAGCTCCGCAGACAGTACTTGCGACAGCATTTTGATGGCTCCCTTGGAACAGTTGTAGCCTGCCATTCGGTAGCCTGGAAGGTTGACGTGTGCTGTGATACTGGCGATAAAAACGACACTGCCTGGAGTGCCTTGCTTTTGCATTTGCTTTACTGCAAGTTGTGCTGCAAACATGGAACCGAGAGTCTAGATGGTGTGAGCATGAGCTTGAATTGCCATTTGGAGTTAGACTTACGTTGACCTGCAACACTTTTTCAACCTCTTCCCATTTCTGGTCAACAAATGGCTTGTCAATGGCAATACCAGCAGCTGTTACAATGCCATCAATCGTGCCAAATGACTGCACCACCTTCTCAAAGGCCGAGGTCAACTGGGACTCATTGCTGACGTCTGCCTGGAAATACTCTGCTTTCACTCCATACTGCTTGGCCAAGCCGAAGACATCCTCGAGAGGAGTATCTCGCAAGTCGATAACTGCAACGTTGCCACCAGCGTCTGCAATGTCTTTTGTGATACTGTATCCTACACTCAAGTCAGAAATGAGGCCAAGGCGTAGTGTTGCGGCCATATGTACCGATGCCCATGGCACCTCCGGTCACCACATAGTTGCGGCCCTTCAACGAGAACTTCGATGCAATGCTTGCTGCCATGTTTTCTGGGAGTCGAGTTGTGATCTGGGCAAGTCGAACAGGTGCAAGCCAGTCTATGTCTATAGTCGAGACTTTCCCTTCAGAAGATCCTCGCGGTACGTCCCCACTTCTTCCTGACTTGATGCGTTGAATTTGAACGGGATCTCAAATGCTTCCTTCTCTACTGGTAGCTAGGATCCGATGTCGGCCAAGGCGGGCAGCTATAACAATTTGCTCTTCCTCGTCAGCTTCCACAATATCTCACGCCGCTGTTTCGCTATCGCGGAGTCTCGCGGCTGTTCGTATTCCTGCGGGCGTGATACAGTCCTGTAATGCGGTCTACAGCTGGCAGTGGCAATGGAGCAGGTGACTCGGACCGCGCTCTCTTCAGAGCTGCGCCTTCTGCCGCTGCCATCGCGGGGAGCACTTGGCCCTGCAGGTACCACGTTTTGTTATCAGAGTTCGACGGTCGACCGCTGATCCGTGTCTTCTGGAGAAGCGACTGGAGGTGAAGTCGAGATTGAAGTGGGGTAGCGCAGAAGTGGATCACGGACCGCGCACTTGGGACTCTGGCTTTGCCCTAGCACGTCTGTGCCAGCCTGGACTGGGAATCGAGTTGCACCCACCGAAAAGGATTCTACCGAGTGTGCCGAGATGCCAACCAGGCGATTTTCCCCTCAAGAAGAGCGGCGGCATGGCTGCTGCGTCGCGTGTTTCTTATCAGTCCAGGAGGCAGATATCCGGGCTTGTATTCTATCCTAAAGGCAGCAGGCTGGCGGCGCGTAGATATCAAGGCCATTGAGACTCGGAACAGACATTGCTCAGAAGGCACCCTTTTCATCTCGCCCTCAGCTCTGAAATTTGCCCCGATCATAATTTAGAGTGCTCAACATGGCTGACAAACATGACATGGTCGTGGTCGGAGCTGGTCAGTCACGCAATCCCCATCGTTTCACGCACTCAACATACTGAATATGATTCGCAGGCTGGTTTGGGTTGGCGGCTGCGAAGACATATATTGAGCTCCATCCTACAGAGGACATCCTCGTCCTAGAAGCAGAAAGCAGCTGTGGCGGAACATGGAGCGAGAACCGCCTGTATCACGGGCTGAAGTCCAACAATCTTCACGGCTCCTACGAATATCCTGATTTCCCAATGGTGCCAGAGGTAAGCTTGCCTGACTGAGGATCTCGACTCTGGAAGCCATGCACTAATATTGCCACACATGCAGGAATATGGCATCACACATTCAGATCACATTCCCGGCAAGGTACTACATAAATACCTAACAGACTTCGCCAAGAAGTTCGGAGTCTTTGAACGAACTCGATTCCTGACGAGAGTAAACTCCTTGGAGCCAACCTCGGACGGCGGCTGGAAACTGGAGACCGAGTCGGGTGATAAACAAACGAGCGTCCTCACGAAGAAAGTCATCGTAGCGACTGGACTCACTTCATCACCCAACTTTCCGATCTATCCTGGAGCTGAGTCGTTCAACGCACCATACTTCCATGCTAAAGATTTCTGCCGCCAAGGAGAAACAATCAAGACATCGAAGCGCGCTGTCGTTGTAGGAGGTGCCAAGTCAGCATTCGATGTGGCATACGCATATGCTGAGCAGGGCGTGCCTGTGGACCTTGTGATCAGACCCAGTGGCAATGGCCCAGTGTGGATATCATACCCATACGTGATGGGAGGCAAACGACTCGAGCAGCTATTGCACGTGCGATGGATGCAGCTTTTCTCGCCGTGTCCTTGGGGATCTGAATCAGGCTGGCTAGCAGGCAAACTAAGGAACTTTCTACACGGCACAGCTGTGGGACGTTTCATCGTGGATAAATTCTGGGCTGGCTTGAGCGGCGAAGTTGTCACACAGAATGGCTATGACAACGACAAGGAACTCGGTAAAATCAAGCCTTGGAACCCTGCCTTCTGGATCGGAAGCGGCCTCAGCATTCACAACTACGACAAGGACTTCTTCGACATGATCAAACGAGGCGAAGTGCGCGTACACAACGCAGACGTCGAGCGTCTCACAGACCACACAGTACATCTCACAGACGGCACCGAACTTAAAACCGACGTCCTTGTCTGCTCCACCGGCTGGCGAAAAGAACCCTCAATCCGCTTCCTCAACTTCGGCACAGCTGGCATCGGTCTCAAAAAACCTCGTCCAGAACAATCCAAACTCGCAACAGAATACGACGAGAAAATTCTATCGCTATATCCCCGCCTTCGTACTCAACCTCCCCTCAACTTCAAACCCAAGAACGACCCTTTCCGCCTCTATCGCTTCATGATCCCACCCGCTCGCATCGAAGACCGCAACATTGCCTTCGCTGGAATGGTCTCATCTGTCTCAACTTCCATTTGCGCTTCCGTTCAAGGCCTCTGGATCTCCGCTTTCCTCGACGGCCGTCTAGACCGCATTGCAGAAACAGAAGAGGATATCACCAAGGAAATCATGCTGCACACACAATGGGGTAAGCTCCATCAGATCCTAAGTCTCCAAAATAATTGTAACAATCAAGCTAACTTTGTGACCTTGTAGGTAAGTGGCGATACCCTACTGGCTATGGAGCAAGTCTTCCCGATTTCGTCTTCGATGCTATTCCTTACACGGATCTTATGATGAAAGATCTGGGTTTGAAAGTGAATAGGAAGAATGGCTGGGCGGATTTCACGCAGCCTTATGGTCCTCCAGATTATCGCGGATTTATTGATGAGTGGGTTGAGAAGCATGGTGCGACGAAATCGTGATCGACTGGATCTGTCCAAGTCTGAACCCGTCATGTACTCGAGCATTTGTATATACCCCCAAAAGACAGTTTATGAAACCTGTTTTGCAAATCATGTCCTGTTCTTCGCGCGTGTGATATGAAGTCTAGTTGAAGGCTTACATATGTCGATCATCACACAGCCCAGCAAGATCTTGAGCGGAACACGTACTCGAACAGTTCAGGATCGTGGAGTCAAAATTTCTCAACCACGCTCGCGAAAACTGAACAATGAAGCAACAAAATCTTGCATTGAATTCGTGAATTTCGTTGTTACCTATACACACCGCTTATCATTGCATCAGCATCCCTACTCTCAAACCTCCCTCGCCTTATACTCAAACATCCCATTCGACGCCACAGAATTCTTATCCCGCATCTTATTCGTCGTATCCGTTCCAGCAACAGGCAACGTAACCTCATACTGCTTAGTATTACTATACACGACGCCATTGCCATTCACATGCCCATTCGTCCCATTCGTCGCCGCAGCAGGTACTTCGACTGTCAGAGGCAATGTCTCTGGTAGGACTCCAATTTGTCGTAGTGCAGAAGCTTGATCCCAGCTGATATGCTCGTGATAGAGGCGATCGCCGCGGATGTTAACGACTGCCATCATGGGGATTTCGACATATTTGTATGTGGGCGGGACACCGGGGAAGCTAGACAAGGCAAAAATGTTAGGCATGTGATATGAAGGTGGGTGTAGAGAGGTTTGGGGAGGACTCACAGCCAATCCGGTGTCTTATCGTGCGTGAATTTATAGATAAATTCATCCACGACTCTGTCAATTCCTACAGTTCGACTGATGAGTTCAAGCTCGGTGTCGTCTGGGTTGCTGAAGATGAAGTGATCGCGGTAGAAATTCGTCAGCTTTTTGCGGCCGATGCCTCCGGTGAGCTGCGAAGTTTCTGTCAGCAAATTCGTTTTGGAGGCCCATAAAAGTGGTGTCTCATACCGTCGGGACATGATTGACATATGGCTCATCCACCATCGTCGCCATCGTATGCTCAACATTCCTATTCTCAAATTCATAGTACGTATGCTCATCCCACAGCAACTCAAGGTCAAAATAAGGTCCATTCATTCTCGGCTTGAAAAAAGACAGATTTCTTGAATGCGAAACAGCTTCCGTAGCATAATGAAAGTCCTCATAAAACGGTACTGGAAAAGAACTCGACTCCGTCGTAGCATATTCGTAAATTTTGCTGTTGGCAGTAGCCGTCGACTTTGTCTCCGATTTGCCGGCCAAATGGTATATCGTAGGCACAGAAGCCTGTGTAGAGATCTGCTTGAACTGCGAAGCCTTTGCGTATATTGCTGCGACAACGATGCGATCTTTCAGAGACTCCACAGCGGAAGCGGATTTGGACCACAAGTCTGTGTCGTAGCAGATGAGGCCCATTTTGTCTTTTGGTTCGCATTCAGTACAGCTTTCCAGAGCTTGCACGGCAGCTTTGAGAGCTCCGGATGAAGCATTTGGTCGAATTTCAGCAACACAATATCCTTCTTCGGCCCATTTCATTCGTAGTGAAGGGATGCCATCTTGAATTTCGACAGGTGCGGCTCGTTCGTCGTTTGGTGCGAGAATGATCATTCCAGGTCCATGGCCCCTTCTTGAAAGCGGTTTGAGAAGTGTCACGCCTTCCGTTACCTGCTCTGGCTTTTGAGGTTTCACCGGCACAGGTGGTGATGACCCGTAGGCGAATTCTGGAATTGCAGTCATCGTGTCGGTCTTGCTTGTACAGTCGCCCTGCCGGGGTGTTTGATCGATGCGCAATTGTGCTATGCAGCTCGCACTTCACAAGTACTTGTGGTCTTCGAATTCTTTGAGCGTGGCCAGTAGCCCTTTGTGGTGATGTCGAAGATAGCACAGTGGATTCTGCAGGGATTTGTCAATGATGCTGACCCAATGGCCCACACTGGCCAGACCAAGGCGCTCGGCTGCTTCAACGCCACCTTCAGCTCCGCGAACTCAGTTCCGCATAAGCAACACCTGTGGAGGTGCATTAGCCGAACGTGGTCTACGAGCATCCTGACGTGCAACATCCGATGATATGTGTCTGCATTGAAAGCAGCACCCGGGTCGCCCATGTGACGCGACACAGCCCAATGTGCACGCAGTACGGCTTATCTATTTGCTGGGAAATGCTCTGCTACCACAGAGCGCCCGTGGAGAGCAAATTCGGAAACAAGTGCATCAGCCGATGAGCGTGAACGGCAATGCCGCACTGCGTGTTCGGGGAGAAATGCCCTCCGAAAGTCCTATCTCTCTAACAGCATCTGAATTACATTATCAAGTGAATGATTGCCTGGAGAACCTATCCTTCAGCTTCCCCACAATCGGAGACCCCATCTCGAACGTCTGCGTGAGCCTCCTTCGACTGAACCTTGGACTGTCAACCTCCATCGTGGTGCTGCCAGTCTGCTTCTGGCTGTCCACATAGAAATGCTCGCCATCTCTGTGCATCTTCCAGCTGGTCTTGTACATCTCTCCACTTGGACCAGACCCACAACTGCCAGCCAACTCGTAGCTCGGAGGCGAATTGACTGCCAATGAGAACAGATGCACCGGCTCTGAGAAGTCCGTGTACCAGTCCCGATGGCAAAGGAAATAGGCCAGTATAGCTGCGTTGATCACAAATACGGCCACAAGCACAACGTAAAATGGCTTTTGCAATGCTGCTGACCCTCCGCTGGCGTACTGCTGGATGCGTACCGAGGCATTGAAGTACTGTGGGGACCCATCTATGACCGCGTCTGTGTAGTTCCAGAACATTGTGAAAGGTGTGTCCATTGAGCCTTGCAGTAAAGTGTTCCCTGCCAACACTGCAAGAGCCTCTGCTGTGGACGGTAAAGCTTTACTGAGAGTTTCAGTTGTAACGATGAGTTGTGAGAGTAGCCGTGCATTCGATGCATTGCCGTTGTTTAGGCCAGCGTTCAGAGAAAGACTGCGTGCCCATTCACCACCAATATTGACCCAGTCTTTACTGAGTGTGGCATTGCCTTGCAAAGCAGTGGGCTCACTTCGGATGTACTCCAGGGAGTCGCCGGATTCGCAGACAGCTTCCATACTACCTCCAGAGATACTTGCATTGTATGAGCTAACACAATTTGGCGTGAGACCCGCTTTCAGCTGACAGAGTGCATAGTTCTTGCCCTGCGTCGTTGTGCCGTTGGGTCCGCCAGGTATCTCAGTGGGATTCCCATTCGCGTCCTTTGGGCCTCCTTTGAGGAGAAGATAGATGGACGTCGCTCCCCAGGTGGCGCTCAGCCCTATCGTGTCGTTCAATAGCGTGTTGTAGTCACTTGGTAGCCGCGGGAACACCGGCGGGAAGTTATTTGGTCCCCATTCGGGACCCCAATGAAAAATATCCTGAAGCTTCTCATCCCAACCTGTCCGGTTCGTGAGGTCTGGGCTCGTTCCACTGAAATCCGCACATCTTGGCCATGCCCCGTTCGATTCCCAAGTATCTTCGTCACAAGCAGACTCGTTTCTGCCTTCCCACAGGGTGTACACGAAAGGTTGCAGCATCGTTTCATCCATCGTCAAGCAGAGTACGTTCACCATCGGCGATGGTACAGAGGCCCGTATGTTGTACAGTGCACCTTGGACTTCGGACGGCTGCATTATGTCGTTCGCCGGGTCAATCGCAGCCTGCACAATGCCCATGTGTGGCATGGCCATGGTCACATTGTTGATGATATAACCCTTATAAGCGTCCTGAGTGACGTTTCTATGCTCGATCCAAGGCGCGGCCACAGTGGTATTGCCGTTGAATTGAGCGTATCCCGGAGGCCTTGTCCGCAAGTCATCTGTTGCATTTCCGTAGCCCAGGGCGTGATCTCGCCAAGTGGCAAGGTACGTATGGAAGTTGCTGAAGGCATTGGCCGCATACTCGATCTGTAAGCAGGTGGTCATGGAAGCATCGCGGCTCGCATCGCCAAACTCCGTATCGTACGCGGATTTGATGGGCGTCTTGCAATTTTCCGCGATGTAATTCGGGTTCGCATATGACGATTTCACCATTCCCTGTAGCAATTTGGACTCAAATTTCGGAAGCACTAATTGAGGTTGCACAAGAGCCGTGGCGGCCGAGGTGTACAGACTGAAATCTATCAGCACTTCCGGGGCCTAATGTCGAAGGGGAGAACTTACATTGCGAACAGTGCTGCAAGGAACGAGACAATGCCAAGAAAAGATATTCCAGCATATTTCACGCTTTCCCATTGTGTGAGCATTGTGCCAGGTTGCAGAATCCATGCTCGCATGTTCAGCTCAGCGAGGGTGATGCCTCGGGCACGTTCAAGTTTGAACGCGCGACGTGCCAATGCTTGGCCAATGAAGGCTACCACGACGGTGACAAAGGAGAGTTCAATGAGTTTGGCGAAGAATGAAGTGAGGAACGCAGCCGATGAGGGCGTCAATGAGCCGCCATTGCGTATTTTGCGCCCATATTTTGGTCCTTTTATGGCGATTATCAGGAAGATGAGCGAGAAAACAGTCGCGAATATGGCCAATGTCAAAATGGTCATCGATATCCAGTTGCTGAATCGTCCGTGCTTGTATGATTTCTTGCTGGGACAGTGATTGTGCGGCGCAAACTCGTTGTAGGCTGTGCGGACCGACAGCAAGCCAGCATCTGATTTCGCATAGATTGATGGTGCTCCAGATTGAAGTGACGTTCGCGAAGCATGATGCTTAGGGTCGTAAGATATATCGAACGACTCTTCGAACTTGGTAGAACCAGTCATGGCCGCACTCGAGGACGCTGAATAGGGAGTGTAACTCTGGTCCATCCGGCTCGAGTTCCTTGCTGAAGCGCTTTGCTGTGGTGTCGCGGGTGTGATGTCTGCTTGATGATCTCGAGTGCCTCCTGAGATAATGCCTAGTCCGTGATTGCGCCTGGTATTGTCATTGGAGTGTCGCGCAGAAATCTTCTCTTCCTCCGCCGCCATGGCTGTGGTCGCCTCTGTCGGCGGAGTGTCGCTGAAGGAAACTGTCGGCACCCTCTGATATCCCGGGCGATGTCTTGGGGACGTGACAGTTGGTGAAGTCGGACCGGCAGCTGGTATTGGTGATGCATCGTTCAGAAGTCCGCGCTGCTCGGCGCGGTCAGGTGTCGACATCGTTTGCGATGCCTCGTACTCAAATCAAATATTCACATGCGCATCGCGCTAAAGCGGCAATACGCACGTCGTTCGGTCCGGTCGACGGCGGCTTGCAGATTGTCACTCGTTTCAAGACGCAGGATGTCTTTGTGCGACGCTGATGAAACGAAGAAGTGCAGCGCGGTTGAGTGTTTGAAGTTGAGCGAAATATGATGGCTGGAGGGCTGTGTACATCCAGTATGTACCAAGGATCACAGCCTCAGCCTTTGTGGCGGCAATAAGGCTGTAGCTCGCGTGTGTCTAGACTGGGACTGTCATGCGCTCGCTGGACTGAGGGTGCACACCGCGTGGATTTGCTCCAGAATCGGGGATGGCTTGCAGTAAAGGCGTGAATGGTTGGCCGCAGCTGCATACACAAGGCTGTGCTCACCCGCTTGATTGCTGGACTTGCAGGAGGAGATCTTCAGTACTTCGGACTCTTCTCTGGACGAAGTCGAGGTGTCAGGATATGTGCAGCTTGTCAGCTCGGTGGGATCCTGCTCCAGAAGTGATGCGACGAAGGAACGGCCGGTCGCCATTCCCATTTCCATTGAGAGAGCATCCTGCGAAGCACATGCACGCCAAGCACGCCTCATGTCGCTGCTGGAGCTCGAGCATTGGACATGTATCTGCTGCCAATGAGGCTAGTCTGATCCATGGCGTGAAAAGTGTTGTCAAAATAGCTTGCAGGTGAGATGTTGGTCGAGTCGGAAATCGAGCTCGGGAGCACGGCGGGACCTGCTTTCGGCCACGAAAATCCAGCGGGCAGGCGCTGACCAGCTCACAGGCCTCGTCATCTCTTCATCGGACTTCCATCAAAGGCAACATGACCTTGTGCTCTTCTTTTCGTCATACTGAAGCATTGCGTCACGCAAAGATCGAGCGCACTGGAATCGAGCATTCGGGACGCACGGGAACAACTCCGAAACCTCTCCACGCCATTGACACGCCCGTGGAACATTTTCTATCTGCAAACAAAGATGCTGCTGAAGGAACCGAAATTGTGGAATTGCAGCAATATAGCGATTTCAGCCTCTGACATAATTCTTCAAAACTCCAGCATGGCCATGTTGCTGTCTCAACACTTAGCTGAGTGCTATTCCGACACAACCGAGACGTGCTGCAACTGCATCTCGAGCACCGGTCAACATACAATCGCAAGAACAAAGCCAAGAGATCAAGACTCGTCTCCGCCTCCTACATGTCCTCATGCCTGACCCGCTGACCGTCATCAAGAGAGCTATCCACGAACTGTCGATCAATCTTCTGGAGATCTCGCACAGAATCGATGCTGACATCGTTAAGTCTGGTGAACTCTTGGTCACTCATCGGATGCTTGAAGCCACTGATGAACCACCTGATACCCTCGGTGCAATTCGGCGTCGTCAAACTACCAGAGTAAGTCCAGTACTTGTTGGTGTGGGCATCATTGAAAAATTCAGAGAAGTTCAATGCGATCTCTATTCTTGTGTAGGGATCTTTGACTCCAGGCCATGCTAGAGAACCATTGCCAAGCACCGAGCTGAAGAAGTTGCTGTAGCCGCCGTGGACCAGTGGTACACCGAAGACTGCTTTTGGCCCAGAGCCATCGCCGAAGACGAAATGGATCTCGCCAGCAGTTCTGCCGCCGATGACTGCGTGCTCAGAGCTGGGAGTGTGGGTATGCCATCTTTAAGAAGGTAAGCTATTATCTCGGTGATCAAAAGTCTGCTCGAAACTACACTTACTGCAATAAACTGTATGCTTGGCCATCAAAGTGCAATGCAGGTGCGTGTGCTTGGGCCTTCGGGTTCCACTCTGGACCAAAACAACGATTGAATACCCAGCCGTCTACGCTATGGCCTCCCGGAAACGCAAACGATGGCTTGTGGAGCGTGGACCACGGAGCGTTCGAGAGATCAATCGGTGACTGATGATGGCCGCTGGCACACTGCCTTGACTCGAAATGCAACTCGGGCCACTTCTCTTGGTGCTGATAATCGAAGGTGTGGCACCCATGGCCGTGGTCATTATCGAAGGCATTCCATTCTCTGTCAATAACAAGCGGACTTCCCAAAGCACATCCTGTGATACAGGCAAGGGCAGCGAAAGAACCAAGTGGGAAGAGATACATTCTGCTCGTGAGTGACTTCCGGACGAGCTGGGACTTCGCCAGCTTTATGCTGCACCCAGACTCGATCCCTTCTGGCGCCATCTCCTGTTATCAATGGCAAGCTGTTCGGCGTGCCCGTGGCCAAGATCGTCAGCCCATCTTGGATGCAGATATGGCTCGCCTACGCAAAGCCATTGTGGCCTTAGCGGCTAGCCGACAGGTTCGAGATCACTCATGTGAAATGCAAAGCTGCACGCCGAGTGAAGACAGCTTCATAGTCGTTCGCCGTGCGGCACCTTCCACTTACGGATCGTGCACGAGAGTGTGGCCCTATATCAGTCAATCATTGGACTTGAATTCAGCCACTGCCTAAAACGCCAAAGGGACAGGGCTGGCTGACAGGTGCTGATGGCGCTCTGGGCGGGCGAAGTTCCTCGACCTCACGTAGCCTGATGTACTGCGGCTCTACCTAGGTGCGATCCTTGAGGCCAATCTCTCTAGTCTTGAGTCTGGAGCGAGCAATGCTCGATTACACAATTCCATTGTCGATTCGCAAAATTTTGCTCGTTGGTCTGGTATGGGTTTCCTGATCATGCCACGAGGTGTATGCAAGCGATCAAAATGCTCGGCATGCTTGTTTCAGCCGAGCTGAAGTACGCCTCAGCCATACCAGGATCGATGCTGGCGCATGTCTAGCTTGAGTTCTGCGAGACCGCAACAGATGTATCGAAACGAGAACCTCAAATTCTAGCAGCTGCTGCCGAATCACCGTGCTGCAAGATTCTTCTTCAGCGCCTCTATCTCTCCATCATTCAACTTACAATACTCCCGCATATATTTCTCCGCCCCGCCAAACTCTTTCTCTATCATATCTATCGTCGCAAGCATATTCTCCTTCTTACTACTCGTCATATTCGCTACCCCTTCCGGATTTCCCTGCAACGCAGGATTTCTCAAAAGCCTCTCCGTAAACAACGGCTTCAAATGCGCCAACCCCTGATCCGTCAACGCATACTCCTCAGCAATAACCTCTCTATCCATCCCAACCAACAACTTCAACAACGCCACAACCACACCCGTCCGATCTTTGCCCGCAGTACAATGTACCAAACAAGGCTTCGCGTCCGGCGCAGCTAAATGTCGAAAGATTTTCGTGTAGGCTTCGGGAGCAGCGAGGAGGATGTCTGTGTAGGCTTTTACGAAACCTTCACTACCTGCGAGAGTGTATTGTTTGTAGCGGAGGGCGACTTGTTCAGGCCCGTAGTCTTGTGCTGCGAAGACGGGAGTCCAGTAGCGTTTTATGTTGTGTTCTGCGAAGGGGTCTGCGGCGTCGACGTCTGCGCCTTGCCATTCGGGGCCGTCTCTTTGGATTTCGGGGAGGGAGCGGAGGTCGAAGATTGCGGATATGCCTAAGCGATTGGAGAATCGAATTAGTATTGACCTTGAGATGGATTCTGCGCGCTCAGATTCCAACCTACTCAGATCGTTGCGCAGTAGCTGCATGCCCTCTGCTGTCGTCTTACTCGGGTCCGCAGACCTATAGACCAGACCTTTCCTAAAAGTCTTCCCATCGCCTGCATCTCGAAAGTTCGCGGTCCCTGGGACGTCCACGAATGGAGGAGAGGGTAGATCGAACGCCATGGTGAAGATGGAGCGATGAGAGAGGAAGCGTAAGAAACCAAACAGCTGTAGTGAAGTTATGCCGTTCAATCAGCCGACCTACCGGTGGTATACATGCGATCGCGCCGCGCGCCGCGCGGTCAAGAAATGTACATTGTCTAAAGACGGCATCTCTTTCGTACGATAGACGTACGATACAGCCTATCAGTTGCGTCTGCATGGAAGGGAAAAAGGCAGAACAGGATGGGGGAATAACCGAACACTCTGCACGTGCGGCGCGGAGGGATGGATGGATGCGGGCATGCAGATTGACTTTCTGGAAAGCCGCCTTGTGCCGGGACCAGCCGCTGGAGGAGACCTCGACAACGACTGCTCTGCTCTTGCTAGAAATAACAGATGCGATCTGACAGCACTTATCTTCCATCTTCATATCATTTGGAATCTTCCGGGCTATCAAGAGCTGTCCGGTATGAGAGCAGAATGCCCCGAATGCCATTGCACAGTTCGTGACATTTCAAGCCCGAGTCAAGCGGATACTTCTCCGCCATTCTCGGCCTGCTTCTGTCCCAACGTCCTGCGTTGGTGACAAGCCACGCAACGAAGAGAACGTGTTCTCCATCTGCAAAGTACAGTCTGTTTGTGCCATGTGGCTGACAAGCAATTCCAACTCTCCAACATGAGTCGTCCATTATTGCGTGATACATCTTGGCACGCCGTAGGCCGCATTTCTGCCAGGGATTGAGGGCGGATGTTGCGAGCGTTTCTTGAGGTGAGCGATATGCATAGCCTTGTGCTACGCCATGTATAAACCTCCTTCGTGCCAAGAGAGGGCAGAATACACTGATCGAGGAGCAGAATTGCATACTGGACGAATGCTGCCAACAACCTCGAATCGGTCATGTTGACTGCACGGCATCTTCTATTCATGGCTATGCGAAGAATGGAGACTAGTGCTCGAAGATCCTTGAGGGAGTCCACTTGATGCGGGTATAGTCATATCACGATGTTACTATATAAACAGAGGCAGGAGCCAGCCTGATCGCTTTTCGATCGCTCTCATATAGAAAGTCCTCGGCAAGACTTCACAATACCGTCAAGATGGTGAAACTACCAAACATCATCTTCATGATGGCTGACGACCATGCAGTGTGTACAAGATCATTGCACATGAGCAGCAAATATACTGATGGAGGTTTCACCAGGCCAAATCGATATCTGCTTATGGACATGGCATAAACTACACACCGAACATCGACCGGCTGGCTACCGAAGGAGCAAGATTCGATCACTGTTATGTTACGAACTCAATCTGCACACCAAGCAGAGCTGCTATCTTGACCGGCATGCACAGGTAAGCCAACACAGTCGAAGAAAGGCTCTATATCAAGTCCATGGAAGCTAATTATAGACACCAGCCACGCCAATGGCGTCTTCACGCTCAACGATAAAATCAACAATCGTCTCCCAAATGTTGCCAAGAGCCTGAAGCAGGGCGGATACCAGACTGCCATGATCGGTAAATGGCATCTTGGCGAAGGCAGCGAGCACCAACCTTCCGGCTTCGACTACTGGAATGTTGTGCCCGGACAAGGCGATTACTGGGATCCCGACTTCATCGAAAACGGCGAGGAGATCACCAAGACCGGTTACGCTGTAGACATCGTTACAGACATCGCCCTCGACTGGCTCGAAAGCAGGAACAAATCGCAACCATTCTTCATGATGTATCACCAGAAAGCTCCCCACAGAAGTTGGGAATGGCATCCACGATACGCAGATCTCTACAAGGACCCGATCAAACTGCCCGATACTTTCACAGATGATTACAAGAATCGAGCGAATGCTGCACGAGAGGCCGAGATGCGTGTGGCGGATGACCTGACTTATTTCGATCTCGGCCTCGTTCAACCTCAAGGAGGCCAGGAAGTCGGCGCTCTATTCTTCCCTGGCACTTCTCTCGAACGCAAAGTTCCTAATCCCACAGACCCTCGTAACCTAACATTAACGGATGCAAACACTGGCGAACTCTTCCGTTTCGAGACACAACAACAACTCGCCGAATTCAAATTCCAGCGCTACATGCAACGATACCTCCGAGTCGTACAATCCGTAGACGATAACGTCGGCCGAATGCTCGACTGGCTCGATAAAGAAGGTCTTACGAACGATACCTTAATCATGTATACCTCCGTAAGCCCACCTTTCCCCTACCACACGGATGACCCGCTAATCTCCTCCCCCTCCTCCCCAGGACCAAGGCATGTTCCTCGGCGACCACGGCTGGTTCGACAAACGTTTCATCTACGAAGACTCCTTCCAAATGCCCCTCTTGGCCCGCTACCCTCGCGAAATCCGCCCCAACACAATCGTCAAAGACATCGTCCAAAACGTCGATTTCGCAGCCACAATGCTCGACGTCGCAGGAATTCGTACACCAAGTTACATGCAAGGAAAATCTTTCCGAAGTAGTCTTCAAGGAAAGACGCCTGAGGAGTGGGACCAGTTGGCGTATCATCGATACTGGATGCATCGGGATGCGATTCATAATTCTTATGCGCATTATGGGGTGAGGGATGAGAGGTGGAAGTTGATTTATTGGTGAGTTTGAACTTTTTTTTCTTTGCGTCTGGGATGCAGTGATGATGCTGACTCTGTGGTATCAGGTACAACTTAGGTTTGAATAATACAGGCACACAAGCTGGAGGAGAAGATCAGGAATGGGAGTTATTTGATACGCAAGAGGATCCCTTGGAACTGTTTAATGTGTACAATGAGCCAGGTTATGCTGACATTGTCAAGACGATGACGAAGAAGTTGGAGAATAAGATGTTGGATATTGGTGATATCTGGGTTCATGATGTCAGTCCGGATGAGGCACGAGGCATCGAAGACAGAAGAGTCTCGGAAGAATTGAAGAAAGCGAAGAGAGATGCCGTGAATCATTAAATAAAATCTGAGAAGCTCGTAGTAGACTAGCGAGTGGGTGCGTCAAGCAGGAGCGACCTGCTCGAACGATATCAAGCCAGGTTCTGAATTGTAACTTCGTTACTCAGTGGGTATCATCCTCGCTCATCCATCACGACGTCTTCCACTGTCCTGCGTTCTCAGCGCCCTTGCCAACAGAATCGGCCCCATCCTTGACACCACCAGTCACGCCCTTGAGGCCATCACCGACTGCTTTGGTGCCGGTAGTATCTACGGAGTCAACGTTCGTTAGTATGGTCGTCCGAAGCGATGTCAGTAGGACGACTCACTGTTGATGGTGTTGCCGAGGCCTTCGCCAGCTGTGCCCACGAGGCCGCCAGCGGTCTTGACAACGCCGCCAGTCAGGTTGCCGAGCGTGGAAGTGACGCCCTTTGCAGCGCCTTCAGCTCCACCGTTGTTGGATTGTCCGACTGGCATATTGGTAGAGGATGGTCGAAGTTGAGTTGCTGTGCGAATGTCAGTGCATGTCAAGAGTGTTGTAGTGGCTCGTCAAGGTCGTACTAAGTTGTTGATCTGATTGTCTTGTGAAGAGGTGTCAGGTCGCTTAGTTGAGCCGCCTTCAATCAATCTGCTACTTCTTGTCGTTCTTTTATGTCTTGTGGTTCGCATTGATGATTGTTGCACATAGCAAGCTGTCCAGTCGGTTCGACGTCATACGTGGCTAATGACGTTCAGTGCATGTGGGTAAGTCGACGCGCTCCACGCGGGCGCAGCAGTTTTGTGTAACCCAACGTGTTTTCGAAACCTGCCAAGCAAATATTTGGCGAATGTGGTTGGGCAGAAGCCGGTGCTGGGACTGGAACTGGTTTTGCTGGCTATGTGTTGCCAACTTTATGAGCAGATAGCGAGACCCTATTGCAGAACGAAGAGAGTCGCAGTCTGCTCTGAAGTCATCCTACCTCTTACGATGCTGGAACACAGCCTGCTGGAAGAGCGTGCCAAGGGTCTATGATGGAGCTGAGGAATGGGTAGCACTCAACGCTGCCATGGTCGTACTTCCTATGGAACACAGCCTTGAATTCGAGCTTCCGACAGAGGACGCGATTCGTGACGATAGGAGCTGGACTGCGATGATCCGAATGGCACTTTGAATTCTTCAGCATCTCCAACATGAACCTGTAGCAGCGTCTTGGGGGCTGTCGTAATGGAGGCGGTGTTCTTTCACGTCCTGAGCAAGGCGTTTGCGCAACGTGGCAGAGCCAATGGTCAGACAGCACCGTGGTGGACGTGGGCGAGCGAACCACGGTTCTCCAAGCAGAAACACGTGCTGTGACGCGCTTGTCGACGTTATAGACACGTTGGCGGCGAGGTGGACCAGTTGTGGAAGCAGTCGGGAGAGCGTTGAAGCCAAGTGTGTCATTTCCCAGGCAGCACTTTCATCGCCGGGGAACTGCGCGCGCTGAGCATCGACAGCGGGCGGCGAGGCGAGAGGAGCGTGCCTTCCCTGATGCCATGCGACGCGGTGCACGTGGTGAAGACGAGCAGTGCGCGCAGTGCAGTGCCTGCCGCGTTGTTCACGCATGCCGTCTTCTTGACTGCAGAAGAAAAGGCAAGAGCGAAAGCGGACTAGCGCGCGATTTCGACAAGGGGCTTATGGCGCGCGTTGCGTATAAATCAGTTCATAATTGGACCGCGCCCGCCCCTCTGATCAGAGGTTTCTCCGCCGCACAGCTCTGCCCTTACTCCTGCCTCAGGCACCCCTCCAACCCTCCACCTCTTCGTCTCTGTTTCAGATCTCGGCTCGGCGCGCGCCTGGTCCGTCTTCGCAAGTCGCAACACGTCTTGCTGCGGCGGTCGCATTTCAAAAAGACAAAGCA